TTACACCAATGTCAAAGGTTTGTATCCCTGTACCCGCCAACTGCCAAAAAAAAAAAAAAAAAAGTTTATAATTTAAAACACCCAGAAAGTTATATGAAGGGTCTTCAAAAAGTTCATGGAAAGGTTTGTATTTTTTTAATTCCACTTTTCCACAAACTTTTTGAAGTACCCTTGCATTTCTAACATACATTATTTCGTTTAGTCCTATAACAATTCTGCAGGACAGCTATTTAATAGGCCTAAATGAGGAAAGTAAGGTTCAGAGAGATTAAGTCACTCACACGAGGGTTAACAGAGGAAACAGGACTATAATCCAAGTCAATTTGCCAAGCCTGGACTCTTCTACTACTCCACCCTAAGCCCTCTTATCGGTCAGATATTATGGTTGGTTGGAAGCAGCTTCCTCCTGTTACACAGATCAATTCTTCTCAAAGTGCACTCTTGCAACACTAATTCTGTGTAGTACGCCAGCAGTCAGGCAAGCAAGAGAAGCTGACTTTGATTAAACAGAAAAATTATTTAAAGGATACTGGGTACCTCACAGAATTTTGGGGAGGTCTAGAGAGACCGGTTCAAAGCTAAAACTCCAGGGGAAAAAATGCCCAAACACATCGCATGGAACTGGCCAGATGAGAAAACTGATGCCATCACCACGAGCACTACCACGTGTCCTGCAACAGAAGCACAGTTTTACCATCTCCCCACATGCCTGTGCCCCAAATGCAGAGCAGTCAGGGAAATTCCCTGGGTTGTTCTGGGAGAGGATGGACTCAGGAGCGGGGAAGACAGAAACCAAGACAAACAACCACAGACCCGCAATAAAAGTTAATAGGTCTCTCATGAAAAGGCAAGGAAGCAGGTGGTTAAACAAGTTTCTTATTGCAGGGCCACTTGGAGGTATTAGTATGCTTTAGAGCATGAAGAATCTCCAAGAGGAAGATTAAACAGTTCCCAAACACATCATGGAAGCTTCATAAAAGTGGTGACAGAGGTGGTAGGCTTTCTGCTCAATTGCTTCCTCTCCTGTCCTCTGTTCAACTTCAAATAGCTCTTATTTCTCTGATTCCACTACCTGAACTCTAGTTCAGGAGCCCACATCTCTCACCTGGACTATAGTAGCAGCTCTCAATTGGCCTCCCAGGTCAGGCCCCTTCGGTCACGATCACAAAATGCAAATCTGGTTAAGACAACTCCCTAACTCAAAACACTCTGATGGCTTCCCACTGCCCTCATGAAACACCATGTTCTGGTTCCTACTTCCCATTTTCTCTTGTGCAGCCTCCCTTACCTCCTTACACACACCAGATGTCTGGTAATCACCTTCTTTAGGGAGACTTCTCTGGCTGGACCCTCTTCCCATGGGCTCCTATAGCATCCTACACTTTTACCTTTCATACCACTTTTTTTTTAATTGAATCAAAATTGATTATACATATTTTGGGGGTTCAATGTTGACATATATTGATCAAGTCAATATTACTAGCCTATATAGTTACAAATCATGCTTATTCTTTATGCCCCTTGTCCAATCTCTCCCCTCCTCCCACCACTGATAACCCTAGATTTCTTCTTTCCCTCTGAAAGAGTAATGGTTACTCTGTTGATTTGTTGCCTAGATGATCTGTCCAATGCTGAAAGGTGTGATCAGATCCCCCAATATTATCATAGAGCAGATGCTTCTTCTGTCACTTTTGAATGGGCTTTGTGGAGAGACATCCTCTTCTTTTCTTTGGTCTCTGCTGGTGACTCTCCTTGTGTCCATACACTCCAGCGGCTGGCGGACCATCTGCATGGTGGTTGCGACGTCTAGCAACTTTCACGGCAGCGGTGGTTACTGTGGTGGGCCGCCCACGTGGCGATGATGTTTTTGGCATGCTCCTTGGCACTGGTGGTGTACCTGGTGTGTGTGTGTGGGGTCCAGTCCCCGGTTCCATACCCCGGGCCCCTGGGCGGGCATAGTACTTAAATCATGTGGCAACTGCTTAACCATGGGTCTGTATTCCCCACTGCACAAGTTCTGAGAAAGCAGAAATTCTTCCTCATGCATTTTTCTTTTTTTTTTTTTCTGGCGGCTGGCCAGTAAGGGGATCTGAACCCTTGACTTTGGTGTTGCAAACCACACTCTAACCAACTGAACCAACCAGCCAGCCCTTCCTCACACATGTTAATATCCAGCAAAACACTTGCCATGTAAACGGCAGTCTACAAAGATGATGAATAATACACTTAAAACTTAGGTACAAACAGCCTTTTCTTTTCTTTTTTCTTTCACAGAATCAGATTTGCATAGCAAACATTAACTGTACACCCCAACAAAATCATCAGTATTTAAAATGTTTGTGTTCCACGATGAAGCCGACAAGATGTACTTCCTATTTTTAGTGGGAAAAAAAAGGAGGGGAGAAGATAGACATTATACTTACCCTTTGTTTGCACATAGAAAGTTTAGAATCCAAAGGAAGAATGAGACTCATGTTTCTACGGTTTCAAAAGGATGAAGTGACAGAGACACTTTAGTTGCTGATGAAGGCGGAGCATTTTTCAGTTAGGATTCTTAGCTCAGTCTCTACAAAATGCCAATCAAAAGGCCAGTTCTAAAGGAGGAAAGAGCCTCTTAAAAAGCAGCACCATCAGGTAGTCACAAGCTTTAATGTTTTCAGTGAGGCTGCTCAAGAAAAAGAAAACACACAGACACCTAAACACCATTTTAGGTTTCTTAATCAGTAGTTGCAAAATAGCCTTTCTCTTTGCATTTAACCCAGTATTCAGGAGTTTGCTTGGTTTAAAACATAAGCACAATTTCCTCATGGTTATCTCAACTAAGATGTTGACTTTGGGAGATCTTTTTGTTGCTGTTACTTTTAGGATTTGGTTTAACAACTAAACTTACTGAACACTGACTCTGCAGCCAAGCACTACTTAAGTGCTTTACACGAATTAACACTAATACTCATGTAAACCTGGAAGATAAGTATTACACCTATACCCTATATATTACCTTCCTATACCTAGGAGATTGGCATCATGTCCATTTAATAAACAAGAACACTAATGTTACATAATTTGCCTAAAGCTACAAAACCTGCAAGTAGCAGATCTGAGATTCAAATCCAGTCTGGCCCAGGAGTCTATACCCTCAACGATACCATTATAATGGCTCCTGAATTAATAAATTACATACACACACAAACACCCTTCCAATCTGAGTCAGAGATTTGTGTTCTAGTGCTGGCTTTGTCTTTAGTAAGTTGTGGGGACCTAGAATAAGGTCACTTTGCAAATCTGACATTGTTTTCCCCATGTGTAGAGTTACAGGATTGGACTTAGTTAACTTCCTAACAGTGTGGTAGGGGGATGAGAGAGTGGAGGTGATGGTCAGAAACTAACAAGGCAAGGATCCTTGGGCCATTTTAAGCAGACTTTTTTGGAAAACGAGTTGTTCTGCTAGAAGTGAAGGCATGAAAAATCTACAAACTGTAACAGAATGTTTTTTCTTGAAGCCAACAGACACCAAGCAGTCTGACATCAGAAAATCCTTTCCACATTCATGCAAAGTGTACGGTGTACACAGATGTACTTCTCTATGGGAGAATCAAGGCTTTTATTAAATACTCAAAGGAGTTCATGACTCCAAAAAAGATTAAGGACCTATTAAATCCCTCTTCAGCTTTATACTCTTGGAGGAAACTGGCAACCCAAGCTTGTAAAGAGCAATATGAAAAAACCTGCATTTCCTGATTAAGAGCCAAATGTTATCAGATATGATGGTAAGACATATTAAAAGTAATCATAGTTTAATAAACTGGGTACCTACAATTGCTACTTAAAATTTGTACTGTTGGATGCAAAGTTAAATATCTCATTTGGAACTAGACTGTACCTGATACACACAATATGTTTTAAAATTTTTTCAGAGTTACAGACTTCCAATAAACCAAAGAAAAAGCTCAATCACTAGTTATATATAAAGTATTTATTTTTATGCACATATTTACCTACAAAAAAAAATTTACAGAAAATAAAACAAAGCAGAATATATTGAACACCCTCTTAAGACTTCTTAGGAGCAGAGGGTTTTATTGCTGCAGTTCAAAGAATAAAATTTTGTACATGTGAAAGCCAAGATGAACACATTTAAGTTAAATGGCAGCCTCGTAAAAAAGTCTGTGTCCTATTACTGAATTTTCAGCTTTATGTTAAATGAAATTTAAAAGATTGCTCATGAAATAATTTAAACCTTTTCAAAATTTTCTAATAAACAGAATTTTCAGCTTTATGTTAAATGAAATTTAAAAGATTGCTCATGAAATAATTTAAACCTTTTCAAAATTTTCTAATAAACAGAATTTTCAGCTTTATGTTAAATGAAATTTAAAAGATTGCTCATGAAATAATTTAAACCTTTTCAAAATTTTCTAATAAACAGAATTTTCAGCTTTATGTTAAATGAAATTTAAAAGATTGCTCATGAAATAATTTAAACCTTTTCAAAATTTTCTAATAAACAGAATTTTCAGCTTTATGTTAAATGAAATTTAAAAGATTGCTCATGAAATAATTTAAACCTTTTCAAAATTTTCTAATAAACAGAATTTTCAGCTTTATGTTAAATGAAATTTAAAAGATTGCTCATGAAATAATTTAAACCTTTTCAAAATTTTCTAATAAACAGAATTTTCAGCTTTATGTTAAATGAAATTTAAAAGATTGCTCATGAAATAATTTAAACCTTTTCAAAATCTTCTAATAAACAGGTAAAAGGCACCTCCAGTACTTAAAAATATTTACAGCAATCCCAATAGTTTAATTTTAAGGGCTATTATAGTACATGTGGCTATTATGCATACACAGTATGTCATTAACACTCTCTAAACAGTGAGAATTGTAGACTCTAGTTTGTGGCTCCCATGTTATCCTGGTGATGGAGTAGGATGATCAATTACACCTGTGCAATACTTGTGTAAACAGCATGTCAACTACAGCATAAAATCCAATTATCTAAAACAATGACTATCAAATTCTCAGACAATACATAATTTATAACTAAAATTGTATATTCAGAACCCTTTGGGGTGTTCTTAAAATTATTTAAAAATATATAAACTATATCTAGCATTAAAAGAAAGCAATGAACTGAAAAACATAACCACAATCGTTGCTGGAATTCAATATCTGGTTTTTAACAAAAAATTGTTTCTCAAAACATCTAGAATTTCTTACAACATAATGGAGATGAGTGTTCCTCAGTCTAAGCTGAATCCAATGTTTTTCCTGAAGTACGATTAAGAGACATGTAAGAATGAAAGGCACACATAATAGCCGGTTTTAAAGAGCTGCGGGGATGGCAAGCAGATGTTCCTGAAATACTGGTGCAGGAGAACAAAGTCCACACAACGTTTTCCTCTTTGTTTAACATTGGCATTGATTTGCTATTTACAGTAGTTTGCAAAAATACATTATAAAAACTGAATGAGGTTCTGTTTCTAAGTTTAACTTAGTAATACACATACATACTTCATCTGCAAAAAATCTTTGCAGGATCTGAAGTACTAAAGTGACACTAATACTGAAACACAGGTAATCAAAGGTACCAAAGCACTGATAATGCAAGTCATCATCATCAAGATAATCTGGGTAAATATTGCACATTTCTTGTCAGTTGCTGCTATGACCTTCACATATCCAACTGCAAAAGGAATCCTTTATGGCTTTTTGCTGTATCACTTATTTGAAGAAAGGCTGTTTTAGGTCCCATAACAATGAGGGCAGATTGTCATTGAACATGAGGCCTAGGTTTCAAAATTAGCTTCCCTGTCTGTAAAAATGAAAAAAAAAAAAATTTTCAATAAACAGTTCTATTAAAAATAACGCCACTTATAAACCTTAAAGGGCATTTGCAGGAAATCAGAACATTTCTCTATACTTAATCAAAGTTAAACAATTAATAGCTATGTTTTCAAAGTTTCCTCTGCGTGGAGCTTTCTTCTAAATTCTTTATCACTTTAAAACACACACACTAACACCAAAGCCAAGGGTTCAGTTCCTCGTGCCAGCCAGCTGCCAAAAACAAGCAAACAAACCCCCCCCCCCATCGTTATTTGAATTTCCTGTCCACTGGCTACCTAGAAATCAGCCAATCAATCCAATGCATAAAATCCCAACTTGTATAGATTTATGCTCCTTACCTAAGTTTACAACACATAAATAAAACTGTGTATCTGAGCACAACATTTCTTCTTTCCAACCTAAAAAAGTTTTAATTCCTCAAGTTAAAAAGTAAACCAATGGTTGGAGCAATGGATACTCATACACTGCTTGTGTTCAGTATAAGATGATATAACTCTTATGTAGGGCCGAGTCAGTTATCAAAATAAATAAATAAAGAAGTGCATACCACATTATCCAAACAATTCCACTTCCAGGAATTTATCTGAAGGAAACAAGATGTGAGTATAAGGATGTACACAGAAGTGTTATTAATGCACTCAGTCAACATTTGAGTGCTTACTATGTACCAAGCACTATGTTAAGTGCTAGGGATCCAGTAATGAACTAGACAAAGTCCCTTGTCTTCATGGAGCTTAAGTTCTAGTGGAGAACACAAACAACAAAAATAGTATAGAAAATGGAGAAACAACTGTCATGTCTAGTAGGAGATTAAATTATGATGCATCCATAAAATAAAGTAATATGCAATTAAATGGAATGCAATTAAATGCAAAATAATATGCAAAATGGAAGACCTCAACTGAGATAATGCAGTTAAAGGGATGAGCCCAGGAACTTGCATGTCACTAATGCCCGGTAACTGCACACTCTTAGGTTCTAATGCTGGGTCAAAGAACCAAGTTTGAAAAATTTGTAACATCTTCCTTTTATAATAGGTCAGTGAGAATGAATACACAACGAAATGTAAAACATGGTGATTATCTCTGATCGGTAAAATTCCAGGTGGTTTTAATTAATATATTTTATTTTTATCCTCATGTCAAAAGTGTTGACAGGATTCTAGTTATCTCTAGATACTCACTTTCACTTAGATTTTGGTCATTCAATTTTTGGTGATTTCTTGATATCTTGATAGACCTAATTTTTCCATTGTTTTATCAGGGTATAATTTATACAATAAAATGCATAAGTCTTGTATAGTTTTATGAGTTCTGACAAACATATATGTCCATGTAGCCACCACCCTAATCAAGCTACAGCATATCACTATCCACAAAGTTCCTCCATGCTCCATTCTAGCTAATGGTGTCCCCACTTAACACATGGACATAACCACATATTATGAGTTAGTTTTGCTTGTCTTTGATCTTTAAATAAAAGGAATCATATACAGTGTGTTCTGTTGCATCTGCTTCTTTCACTCAATATGTTTCTAAGGTTCATGCATGTTACTGCATGTTTTGGCATTTTGGTAACTTGTACCTTTTTATATTGCCAAGCAGTATTACACCACATGAGTACATGACTATTTGTTTACCCATTGTTTTAATCTATTTTAAATCTATTTTTAATTATATTAGCAAGACATTAATGTAATCTTATTATAAAAAATTCAAATGATACACATAAGCTAAATCATCCTTTCCATCTACCTCAAATTCTAGTCCTCCAGAAGAAACCAGTTTCAGCATGAATTCTTCCAGATCACTTTGTATGGATTTACATATATTGGTGGGTAAAATACATCACTTGGGATTTATTTTACTAAAGATGAAACTAGAATGGCCATCAGATAACATCAAAGTCAAGGGTTCAGATCCTTGTACTGGCCAGCCACACCCTCCCCTCCCCACCACCACCAAGAAAAAAAAAGAGAATGACCATGAGTTGATTGACACTGGTGATGAGTACACAGGAGTTCGTTATATTCTTCTCTTTACTTTTATTATGTTTGAAAATTTTTATAATTAAAACTTAAAAAAAAAAAAGATACTAAATTGAGCATACTGCTTGGTAATTTGCTTTTTGTGCCTAACATTATGTCTTGGAGATCTTCTGTAGATTTACTTACAGATTTACAAATAGATTTACTTCTGGCTTTTTGAGACATGTCTACACCACATGTAGACCTGTTATACCTTACTCTGCTGAGAAATGTAATGATTATTTCCATTTTTCCAGTACTGCAAAGGATGTTGTAACAAACATCCTTGTACTTGCCCCTTTGTGTGCATGTGTGACCATTACCTCCACAACCCCCAAAGTAGAGGACAGAAGTAGAATTGGGTCATGAGGCATGCACATTTTACCATTTTAAAAGAATGATGAAAAACTACTCCCCAAAATGGCCGTTCCAATTTATGTTCTCAACACAGCAGTGTACAGGTGTTATCCATCTCACCATAATACCAAAGTTATCAAAGTACTTAACTTTTCCTAATCTGATAGGTAGGACAAATGGAAGCGCACTGCTTTACTTTGCATTTTCCTGATTACAAATAAGACTGTCCACTCTTTTTTTTTTTTTGGTGGCTAGCAATGTCCAGTATTATCATGTATGTTTATGGGCCATTTATATCTCCACTTCTGTGATGTTCCCATGTTTTAAATGTACTATTTGTTCTTTTCTCATTGATAGTTTCTTCTGGTCACTGCTTAATTTCTTGCCTTTTGCTGTATAAAAGTTTTAAAATTTTGTGCAATCAAATGTATCTAACTTTTGCCATCATGGCATTTCTGTTTTGTGTTAAGAATAGGCTTTATTCTATCCCAAGATTATAAATATATTTCTCTAATGCTTTTATAGTGGGATGTGTATGTCTTTTTAAACATATTTAAGACTTTTAGTTTTTTTATTGATGTGAGGCAGAGATCTAAATTCATTTTTTCCAAAGAGTCAATTATCTCAACACTACTAAATAGCTTATTCCTTCCTGCTTGACATGAAATACTATCCTTATCTTCTAAATAAATTTAAAGGTAAAAACGTTTTTATAAATAAAATAAGCAAATCAAAATAGAAGCTACCAATTAAAACTGTGAGAAACCCTTATAATACATTGGTACATGATCTACTTTTTAAAACAGGAGATTCGCATGCCCATAGTCTGCAAATTAAACTATGCCTCTATTTACAAATAAGACATACAGAATACCATTAGATAAATATTAGTAGTTTATAAAACCAAAATCCACTGGGCCATTTTTTGCCAATAATGACTACTGTATTTCACTGAATCTAAGATGGTTCAACTTTAAGATGCATCATGATTTCATGTCATTAAGAAAGATTAAACTGTCAACTCTGCCAATTTAATTGTTAGATACTACTGATTCTTAGATGCATCTCAATTGCAGAGACATTAAAATGTAAAAAAATGTGTTTTAGAATCAATGCTATAAGGTATATTCCCACTATTAATTTCACAGACACAATTTGTTAATAAATATCTGCTTTTTCTAAAGCCAAACATTTCAATCCTTTCATACAGGTCTCTAAGTTTCTTTTTTAGTCTTTTTTTTCCCTTGATTCAGGTCTATGATTTTCTAATGAAAAAAAAATACTTACATCATCACAAGACATATTGTACTCTGCTAATATCGTTCGGCATCGAGCAGCTATACTGGATAAATGTGGTCAAAGGAAAATTTCCCATTTTAAGAGTAAGCTTCTAATAATCACCTAGATCATCAAGAAGGTGCTTTAGTTTAGTTCAGAGAATAAAATTTGATCTGCGGTAAAGGATACATTGATGGTGCAACTACTCTCTTGTGTATTCCTGCAAAGAACAAGCCTATTAGAGTGATACAGCTAATGGTGAAAAACGGATGATTCCATAACGATGTGAAGAAGGATACCTGTAAAAGAAGTTTGAAATATGGAAATGTTAAAAATCTTACAACAATACTGATTCCTACCCTCCTCACTCGTGCACAAATATGTGTAATATTTTTATCATCTACACTATGAGGATTTGAAGACTTCCAATAATCCTAGTTCTCTGTATTGCTATGCTGTAAGAATAAAAATAATGTATGCTTTATATCTTCTATATAGGAAGATAATACAGCAATATTCCCTCCATTCATTTCAAATACTTGCACCATTACAAAGTCATTCCTATAATCAAGAAACAACCCTATAAAAAATATTTACTGAACTCTGTGTTGAATGAGTGAAGGTAAGGCCTCTGATCTCAATGAAAACACAAGTCAAATGTGATCTAGTTACCTTCCCTGTTAAAAAGCTTCCTTAAAATTGTTGAGCAAACCGTGCCATTCATAATCTGGTCCCAGTCTAATTTTCATCTCCTGCCATACTTCCACATATGCTACCTTGTTAACCTCCTTCCTCCTACATATCCTTATAATACTCAGCTGCAGCATCACCCGTCCTCTCTGCAGAAGCAAAAAATGAATTTGGTTTTGAAGATACTGAGATTTAGATGGCCACAGGACACTCAAGCAAGGAAAGATTAGTAGCTATCCACAAATAACTAGAATTCAGGAGAAAGAAAGGGCTAATTTCAGATCTGGACATAATCAGATGACAGTAGAAAACAGGACAATACACAATTCGAAGAACAGTAGAAGGACAAAGGTCCAGGACCCATGAATGGAAAAAGAGGTGGGCACTGAATCCAGATGACTGGAATACAGAAAAGCAGACTGGAGAAACAGAGAAGACAGGCATTTAGAGCATCTGGAGAAATAAATCAAATAGATAGTTAGCTGGATAGGAGCAACGGAATCAAGCTAAGTACATCCCCACTTCACTCTCACACCAAGAGATGCGTACATGTTTCAAGATAGAGAAGCACCAGGTAGATGGTCCAGCATGGTATTGGTTAAATAAGTTTGTCAAATGAAGAAATGAGAGGCTGAAAACATCAGGAGGGAGGAAGCTCCTAGAAAGATGAGATCCCGAAGAAAGGTTAATATTCCAGAAGAATGTCTTCTTAAAATCAGCTATGTTTTGTGTGGCCTGCACAATGTTAGCAGAGATAGGGCATATGTATTAATTTTAATTAGGTCAATCAGTATCAGTCTTCTTTCCTCCATGTCAACTGCACCCAAACAGCAGTTGTCCCCTTGGATCAAACACTCATATATTTTCCCAGTCTGCCATATTCTTTTTTTCCCCTAGTTTCTTCTACCTAGCCACTGGCTTCTGAGTTTGCAACTGCTGCTATAGACACAATTGCTAGTGAAAACTCTTGTCAGGTCTGGGGTTTTCAAATACTGAAATATAAAGAATCAACCCTTAGGCTAATAGTTATATTCTCACCTAATTTAGAAAATTATATTAACTACATAGTTTTGGGCCTCTCTCAAACCTCATTTAATTCTGTGTTTTATTAAGATCTCAACTAGCTGAAATCAGCTTATATTTTTCCCAATTAGAAGTCAGACTATTTCCCAAGATAGACCTTTTTCAATCTTCTTGCCAGCCTCCTTCCACTCTTTCCCTGAAGATGAGCAGCAAGTACAGCCTTAAAATCAAATTTTAAAAAATGAACACACAGGAGAGTTTCCTGTCTGCCATAAAACCCCTATATTAACATAAAATCCCATCACCAACCTTCCCTGCTTCCTGTCCTTTTATATTTCCACCTTAGTGGATAAAGTCAGAGAGACAACATCCTAAATAAACCCGACTGCCTAAAGTGCCATTCAAACTGATGACGAAAGCCTTACTATTAGATTTTTCTTCTGTATAACCTAAAAGTTTATAAATAAAGCTACTTTAATCTACTTAAGTTTAAAAGTGGGGAGGATTTTAAGATTTGTAAAAATTAAAACGTTACTACCTAAATAAAATTGCACTGGGGGGAAAAACTTCACTGAAAAATTGGAGACTTCTGGTTCTCTAATAATAATAATAATAAAAATAAAAAGGCCTGAGTTTGAAATTAGGGCACAAGTTAGTAGAAAGAGGTAGAAATTTGAGAAACATGCTATTAGCTTTCATTAAAGGATGTTTCAAGATATAACATTATGAAATCTGTTATTGCATCTGGCATAGGGATATTGTTGCATAGTGCCCAATGGGAGATCTCTCAGTATTTCCTATATTAACCTTTGGGCAGGAAGTTTTTTTAGATAATGCTGAGAAAGAAAAGCATTGTTAGCTCAAGGAACTGATACATGTATACTTCTGACAGACAATGAAAATCATAGAATTAACTATGACTTCATTGATTGGGTAACTCAGAAACTCATTTATATAACTCCATTCTGGAAGTTGCGTTTAACCACATGACTTATATATATCATCAGTGGCCTGGTTTCCTTCCTGGTTTTGACCTCCTAATCTAATCTGTTTTTTACCTAGTCCTGACTTTTTATTACACTTATATTTTGCTATTTTATCATATATGTTTCCTGTAAAGTTATCACAAATGCTTTATGGGATGAAAAAAAGTATTAACTGTGGTAACTCATAGAAAAAAATGTTATCTTATAATTTTTAAAAGATGGCACCGATGACACTAAATGAACCAGGAAGAACAAAGAATGTTCACACTGAAATAAGTAAAAATGAGATAATATAAAAAAATTTTTAAAACTGTACACAAACTCAGAAATAAATGGTAACTTTATAAGTGAAATAGTACTTCTTAGGTCTTTTCCCTTGTGAAGATACTTAATTCACAGAGGCCAGCCAAAGTTTTCTTTAAGCAAATTAATATAAGGCATATTTTTAATATAATGATTAATATCATTAGTAGTAGTAATAGGTAGCATTTGAATAATACTTTACAATTAACAAAGCACTGCTATATCCATTATCTCATTTAATCTACTATACATTTTAAAACAAAACTTCTACCTTTTGTGTCTCAGGATCTATTAACCAGTTCCAGGCACCAGTAGCTGTACAGACAGATACCACTATAAGAAGCACTAATGAAAGATAAACACGAAATTAGTAAGCAAATACACCCTTAATTTTTGATACTACCACCACCAGTTCCTAATAAATGACAGCCAAAGAATATAGAACCTTATTAAATGAAAAATGCACTGACTAGACTCAGGAATTAGGAGACCTGCCAGATGACCCTGAGGAATTCCCTTGAACAACGTGAAACTTAGTAATTGAAGATGACACTGTCTCCCTTATTACTTAGTCAGAACTTACGAAGATTAATGAAATTAAAAGCAGTTAAGAGTCAGACAGTAAAACATCAATATGAGTTCTATATTATGTAACTTTCACTGTGTTTTGTGCTGATTTTGCAAATTCTAATTGAAAAACAAAACAAAAAAACCCTCTCATTTTCTGCTGTAAACAAACCAAAGACTCCTTTTTGAATGCACTGAGAATTCTCACTAAAGGATTTAGCCTTGCAGACCACTGCCTGCTGCTGAGTTAAACAGTTAAACAAAGGTCAGTGTTAGGAAGTGTGGAGTCAGCATGGAGCACACCAATCAGTATCAGATTTTCTTTAAGGGACTTAAAGAAAGGTCGGGTAGAAATTACTACTAGTAGAACTTAGAAAAGGTTTCGTTCTCTCCACTAACCTAAAACTATTTTAGATTAAGTAGATCATAGGTAAAACTTAAGAATAAATGGTATTACTAAAAAATAATAAAGGAGCACTGAGCCCTAGTTAATATTCTGGAGATGACGACAGTTGCTTGTCTTTTAGTTAGGATGCATACATTTTTCAAATGTGGATATCAAGCTTCAAAGAGCAACAGAAATACAGTAAAACCTTAACTATCTAGAATTCCTGATGATGTGCTTTTAGAAGAGCTAAATCACAGAGGGAAAAAAATCTCATTTTAGGTATTTAATAATAGAATTAAAATTTCAAAATTGCTCTGAGCTCAGGACAGATTAAACTCAATTTTTAAAAATTCTGTATTTCCAGAAAGAAATATACTTTACACAGCCATTTTTGAAAAAACGAAGAGCAAAATCAAAACATTAGAAAGGGCTTCATACACATACTTGTATTTGACTGGTATATTAATTAAGCTGATGTCATTTACATATAAGTGCTAAGACCATGAATCAGAAAACATAAAGTGCGTTCATTATATTACATTTTATTAGATTGAACAGCATCATATACGTTTTAAAAGATTCTCACATAACAGTGAAACAAAGAACAATGGTTTGGGGGGATAATTCCTAGGTAAACCAGAAAACCTGAGAAATTCATTACTTGTGAACTCTGACCAATCAGATTTCTCACATGATATGATTAAAACTTTGCAAAGTGATCTCATAAAAATTACATGAAAATTCTTTACATAGAAAAAGATGCCTAACTTCAATAGTATTCTTTTGGTCCCCCAAACTGAGTTACACATTGAAACAAAACAGGTCCTCAATGTGTACTCTATTGTACCTCTTTCTTGGTAGGAATTAAATTTCAATAATGAACATCCAAGAAATTATGACTAGTCCCAACACAGGTTAGCAAGACACTTTGTTTGATGATCTCATCACTAGCATATTTGTCCACTTTTCCTATAATTCTCATGGGGAAGTAACCACAATTCATTCAAATCAAATTTTGTAGCACTCATGATATATATGAATAGACAGTAATGTGAATTTCTTTTCTACGTCATGATCCAAAGCAGCACAATAATGCTGTTAAAAATCAACTAAGAGTAATTTCATAACCTTTGCAAAGATACATTAAATAATATGATTTTTCTTAATAAAACTTTATTTCAACAGTTTGTAGGCAAATTGTAAAACTGCTAAGCAAGCTACTGAAATTTTTATTATGTATGTTTTTTTTTTATCAAAGTTGCAATATTTGTTTAATAAAAAGTTAAAATATGTGTATTTTATGGAAAAAAATAATTCAATTACACAAAATAGACTTGTTCTTTTAGGGTGGCCAGTTATAACTTCCTTTTATTAAAATTTTCGTTTTTTTTTTATCAAAGTTGCAATATTTGTTTAATAAAAAGTTAAAATATGTGTATTTTATGGAAAAAAATAATTCAACTACACAAAATAGACTTGTTCTTTTAGGGTGGCCAGTTATAACTTCCTTTTATTAAAATTTTCTTTATAATGCATTGTTTACAATGTTAAATAAGTCAAAAAGTATCTAAACAAAATTAAATCTTATGGTTTAGTAAAGCAAGCATTTGTTAATCAAAAGTTTTACATAAAAGCAAATCATATCTACATAAGAATGAAAAGTATCAAAGAGTTTATTTTCTCTTAAAATACGTTCAAGAACTTACTTCTCCAACGTCCAGTGGCAGGTTGCAAACAATGAATATATTCAGTAAGTCTCCTCTCGAAAGCCTTGAGATCTAGGGAAAACAATTTCAATTTTGTGATTAGCCACTCTTACTAGTTTGAGTCTATTAGCACGAATTTTTAGATACTCTAACTGCTTCAGGTCTTACCTCCTAACTTACATGTATCACTGCATTGTTTACTTTGTTAACTATGACAGCTTTAAGCATTTGACAAAAACGTTAGGTTTAATTCCAATCTCACACATAAAGAAACTGACTGGTTTGCTTTTAGAAGCTTCGTAAAACGGTATGTGGAAAATCAGCAGCAAACTCAGCCGGCGCCAAAAGTTGCAGTTTTGGGGGTTGCAAATAAAAGGATCAAAATCGGATCGAGTTTTAATTCTGCGGGAACCAAGAACTTTCTATTAGAAAAACGTATTACCTAACATCAAAGTCTTCGAGGTCTATTTGACTGTAACTACCCGATTCCGGTTTTTCCCTCTTATATTTAATTAATGGCAACGGTCTGGTCTTACCAGATTGGAAAGACACTCCTCTTTTCCCCCTCCAAGTAGGTTATAGGTGATCTTCGCGGCACCACGAAGCGCCGACGCCTAGTTTTAAAACACAGGGAGGTGCAAGAAGCTCCCTCTGAATGAGAGGTGGGGTGTCATTTCCAGAAACCTCGGCAGGAATTAGGGATACAACTCGTGGGGTCATCAGAATAAAACGAAGACAAAACGAACTCGCGTACTACTACAATGCACGATGTGTAAGAGCTTGATGGATGAATAGAAAACAAAACAGGACTAAGCTGGGGAGAGTGGAGGGAGCTGACGGGCCATCCCCGCCGTCCGGCCAGGTACGGCCGCCCCTTGGCCGGGCCCCCGCGCGCCCCAAGCTCCGGGCCCCGTCCCTCCATCCTCCGCGGCCTCCTCTTCCCGGGGTGGGGTCTCCGCGACTCCGGACCCTCTGAGCTCCTCCGGCTTCCGGCAGGAGCCCCGGGACAAGCCCGGGAGGCCCACCTTACCTTCCGCCTGCTCTAGCGAGTTCATGTCGGGCGGCAGCTCCGGTCACCGCCGCTGCCCCGTCCGCATCGCAGCTCCGCAGCCCCCGCCCGCCGGCAGCGCCACCCCCTACCTCTAACCGCTCTCCTCGGCCCCTTCCCGTCGCCCCGCCCCTTCCCTGTACCCGCTATGGTCATTGGGCAAATCTGTCAGACCCTCCGACTAAGACGGTTTCCTATTGGCTGACCGCTGCACCGGGCCTCGGGGCTTAGCGTTGGACGGTCAGCCGGAGGGACCAAGAACTGCCGGCTACCGGTCTGGCGTAACGCTGGCGCCGCCTCCTGTTCCGGCGAGGAACTGCACTCTCTCCGAGACCGTTCGTTCGTATATTACTAGTTTCCTGCTTGGTTTTCTCAGTCCTCAAATATTGATTTAAGCGCTCACTACCTTTTGGGCGGTTTTCTCGTCGCTAAAGAGGAATACAGAAATCAACGAGCTGGGATTGCCCTCAAGGAACTCAAGGGGAAATAAAATATGTACAGAACTAACTAGAACCCCAAATAATGGATTTCCTTAATTATGGTGCCTCTTTCCTAAATATCCAACTCCCAGGCTGGCCCGTTCTCAGCAGGTTAGTGTACAGTCTTGTAAAACCAAGGTCAAGGGTTCGGATCCCGTTACCGGCCAGCCTCGAAAAAGAAAGAAAGAAAAAATTCCGAATACCTAACTCCTTGAGTAAGCATTTCTCTCTGTCACACAATTTTCATAAGTCATAAAGGAGGCAAAGTATAAGCCCCAATACCTATAACTTTAAAAAAATCTGTAAGGAATTGACTACATTTATATTTGATTACAATGCTTTCTTGCTCATTTCCTGGAAGTTATTCATTCATTCAAGAACTATTTATTGCAAAAACGTGTTAGGCACTATATTTGTCAGTGCAATTATGAGCAAAATAAACAAGATTACTGTCCTCAAAGTGGAAGGGTTATAGCAGGTGAGAAATATGTAAATAAATAATTGATTTCAGATAAGGATACTTCTGTGAAGAAAGTAACAGGGTAGTAAGATACTGTGAGATAAAGGAAAATAGCAGGAGTTAATGTTCTTGGAGTGTTTCATGGGGCAGGGGCATTTGAGCCGAGAACCCCAAAATGGATGAGAAGAAACCATGCAAAGATGAGGGCTAAGAAGGTTCTAAGCAGCACTGGAATTTTTTCACTGTTGGTGTTTTGCGTATTCTACTCATCCTCAAACTTCCTCCTCCCTACTTGCTAGCAGAATTAATTGACAATGACACCCCACCCCCATTACTTCGCTGTAGGTTCCTCTCCCATAGCACTTTTCAAAGTTTTCCATTCAGGGAGCCTTCCTCTCGATCAAACCCTTTACATCCATTATCTCATTAAACCCTCCAAGGTGATATTTTTTAAACTGTGGGTCAAAACCCATGAGAGGGTCAAAAAATCCACTTAATGGGTCATGGCCTTTTTTTAAATGCACTAAACTAAAATTAAAAAATAACGTCATTGAAAGAGAGAATAAGTATTGATTCATGACCTTTCGTTCAGCTGTGTGTGTGTGTATTTCCCCCCCCAATACTGGAACCCCTCTAACTGAGGGTTCCGGTAAAAAAAAAAGTTTGAAAGCCACCAAGGAAGGTATTCATAGCCCCATTTTACCATTGAGAAAAGTAAAAATGAGTTTGCCCTGGTCTTGCAGTTATTGTCACAGCCTGGACTGAAGTCCTAACTCAGACTACCCCTTTTGACTTCTTGCTCAACGTTCCATTTCTCCATCTCCAAGTCTAATTCATCACATTTCCCTTTGGCACCCAGCAGTGCTTAGAGAATGGCTATTGAACATCTGTCATATGACAGGCTCTTGTGGGCTAGATCCTGGGGAGGGGAGGGATGAGACAGAGTGATGAATAGGACATTGCAAAGCATTGTGATAAGTGGGAGATTTGCTAACTTGCCTTCAAAAGAGACAGTTCTGTGGACTGTAGGGCCTTTGGTTGTCCGAATGGGGTGTGCAAGTTTCTAGCAAGATCTTGGGACAACAGAGAGGAGTGTGAAGTCTACCTCCTGGGGTTTTTCCCTCTCCAACCTTCGTTCTCAACTGTGTTAAAAGAAATGTTGAACATGCCTCTGAAAGCGTGCACATTATTAGCCTGTTGTTAGTATGTACGTGTACGGATCATGGGGGTGTGGGAGGCAGTAAGAGAGGAGGAGAGGAAAGGGGGAGACCAAAGGGGCCAGTGATAATATGAATATCAGCTTCTAAGAGTGATAGCTAATAAAGTAGATAATGTTTGTTATCTTTTACCAGGAGGCCTGGCACTCTGCCTTTTATAGTTCAGAGCATTATATCTCCTTTATTTTATTTTTATTTTTATTTTTTCCTTTTTGTCTTTTTTACTAACCAGTAACGGGATCGCAATCCTCGGTGTCGCGCCCGTACCGGGGACGGCAACGGGATTGCAACCCTCCGTGTTGCGCCCGCACCGCACTCAGCCAGTGAGCGGGAACCGGTCTCCACGTGGGATCCGAACCCTCGGGGGGAGCGCCGCCGCGCTCCCAAGCTGCGCACTGTAGCAGTGCACCACCGGGCTGGCCCATTATATCTCCTTTAAACCTCACAACCAACAGCTCTATCAGCCAAGGGGTGTTATCAAACCCATTTCAGAGATGAGTTTATAGACAAGTAGATGAGTTAAGTTGAACTCTCTCTCTGTCTCTGTCTCTCTCTCTCCATGGTACATCAGATCAGTTAGCAAACCCTGGGCCGGCCCGGTGGCGCACTGCTACAGTGCGCCGCTTGGGAGTGAGGCGGTGCTCCCGCCG